GATTCAATCAGTCTTGCGATACCCGCTTATACGAACGGTTGAAAAAATGTCGCTAAAGAGAGCAGTGCATTGTACGATGTGAAGAAGGAATATAATATGTAAGTTTCAACGTTCTATACACAAAAGAAACGTTTTTTAACATTATGTATGTACACAGTACGGAGCATCGTACGGTGCGTTTACTGAGCAGACGTTACGATTTGACGAATACGGGCTACAAATTTTTGGAAATTGGAATCAACGTTGGCCCACCGAGTTACGTGGAGATCGCCCTTGGAGATCCTGTCTCTCGAAACGTGGAAGAGCCTCTACGAGCAGCGAGGAAATATTTACAAGCTGTTTCGAAACGAATACAAGGATAATTTTATTAGCGTTGGACCGCTAACCGTCAGTGTTTGTATGCTGAACGATGCTACGCTTGTACGTCTCGATTCTTCATCCGTACACATTACGATGACCGAAACGACACTACGCCGTATGTTTGACTTTAACGGGTGTATCGATGTAACGTTCGAACGATTAGCTCGTCGATACGAGATACCAAGTATACGCGATTCTCCAACATCGCATCTGAGAACATTATATGTGATAGCGACATCTTCAATGGACATCAGCTCAACGATTGCGAACTATTAGCTTTAGTTTTTAATAAGTACGAAAACCGGTGTAATAAGATGTGAATAAAACATTTTTGTTCGCATTATTTTATGTGTATAGTCTTTTACTTCTCATCCTTTGCTTCTACGCGTCAGGAAAAACCATATTGAAAAAACTGTGTCGTACAAAGAAACTTGTACTCTATTGATTCTTCCATCCTTTCTTCACTCATAGCACGTTACGCGAGCTCTATCTTTCTCTAACATGCAAGCCTTTATTACCGATGCATTTTCAAAGAAAAACATGGTCAAATTTTGACAACAAAAAAAAAGGAATCCTATTATGTAAGAGCCCTTTCCCCCTCTTTTCCCGCGTTAGGTATCCCCCGCGCCTACGAGTATTCCCCGCACCCCGCATTCCCCTCTAGCCCCTGGGTTAGAACCCATCTTGCTTTACTACTAACGGGAATAGTAGGAACCCGTCGCGTTACAAAAATACGAATGTCTCCAAAAGTCTTATTATCACAATTTTCCTATACAACATAGAACATCGCCAAGTAGCAAATATATTGCGTAGCATTAGATCTTTATGTTGTAACATTATCATGATGATTGGAATAAAACAGCAATAAAAACATCCATTTTGAGAAAACTTCCAATGTAACATATCGTAGTGTATTAATGCAACGTCATGACATACATGCAGCAATATCACATATTAGGTGTCTACAAATAATTTTAATATACAGATGTAAGAGGAAAGGGAGATGTTTTTTGTACTATAATTTGTAAAATTGCAATATTACTGTAATATCTCTAAACTATTTCATACTGTATATAAATTACTATTATTATTATTTCCGTGCTCTATAAAGTATTATTATTATAGAGTTATTATATTAATAACGTGTTTCAAACTCACCCTCATTGAACTCGGTTTATATGAATAATCGATTGGTTGACAAATAAAATTATATTCGTATAACCAACCAGCCATCAAGCCTTCGTAAACAAGATAAAGGCTTACAAGAACTTGGATAAAATTATAAATTATCAGCGTATTTCTCAAATCGTATGGCTTCTTATCCTTCATATATCTCGGTCCGGCGGAAACACAAAAATATATATATGTCGCTATGATCGTTAAAACTGGACCAGGACTAGGTACCAGAAACCATTCTTGTGTTCTTGGATCTATAAGCGTTTTAACATATAATGTAACTATGTAACATAATGTAATGTAATTCAGTATAACGTTAACATGTAATATTATTTTTCACAAATGTAATTTTGTTATAAAATCACCATATTTGTTGTCCATCACATCTCTATACCACTCCACAATGTACGACATCTCGTAGTCTGACTTTATAAATCTGCAAAAATGCACATTATAAATTAGTTTTAAAATATCAATTTCATTCCTCAAAAATAAATTTTATATTTCTGTGGAAATTTTAAATATATTTCTCTTCTACAACCTGACTACTGATTACTGTATATTTTGAAATGTAATCCTAAATGGAAACTGACATAATAATATTACAAACTAAATTGATATGCAATTTAATAATAATAAGTTTAAAACACTGCAAAAAATTTATTACAATATTCTTTGCAGTATTTTAAGATATTTATGAACATTATCAAATTATGTATCGATTTAATTTTATAATATTACTGTTTCAGCTTTCATATAGAACTGCGTTTTAAAGAAAATAATAATATGATCAAAATGCAAATATTTTTTTTTTAAATTCAAGCTACAAAAAAATTTATTTTAATAACAATTATCCTTATAACAATTTACAAGTACGAAAAGTCTAAAAGTATACAAAGTATAAAAGCTTAATTTTATAATAATAATAATGATAAAAATATTTATATGGTCTTTTTTTTATAGAGATTTATAATAAATGTACAAAAAAAAAGAAAAACTAGTGAAAAAACATTTAGTATCATACATAAAAATTTAATCATCATATTAATTTAAATTTAAATGAATCATATTGGGTCATCTAAAAAGTATCCGCGATTTTTTGTCACTAGATGGGTTGACCATCAACACCATCTAGTGACAAAAAACCGCGGATACTTTTAGATGACCCAATATATAAATTAAAAATTATGAGTTCAAAGAAGCTTATAAAAAGAAAAGACTAGATTACTCTATAAACGGTTGCAACAACGGTTGTACTGCAAGCTATTGCAGTTACTCACATTTAAAAAACAAATGATTATGAAAGTGCTATGCATTGTTATGTCTTGTCTCTCCTCGACTGTCCTTGGTAGTTCTAATGAC